GGGAGGCCTCTGTCGCAGCCTCGGAGACACCGCGGGATCACCTCTAGAGCCCCTGGGTAAAGGGACCACCGCTCCAGCCTGTCCTCAGGTCTCTCCCAGCCCATCTGGAAAATCAGCCAGCGTCTGGGAGGAGGGTCATGGCTTCTTGGAAAGCCCCGTGGTCTGGGCTGGGCTGAGTCCAGACTCACAAACGAGCTGGGTGACCTTGAGCCAGTCCAACCATACGCATCCACACACACAAACACATACACTGCACACAGAATCACACATGGCACACACATGCATGCACAGACACATAAACACACGGATAGACACAAAACACACATGCACGGATACTCACGTATGTACACATCCCACCCTATAAACACATGCACACCCATGAGCACATGTTCACGTGCACACGTGCGTGTACACACCCCCATGGCCCCCACTTTCGCAGCAGGGCTGATGGCAGAGCCCTTGACGCTGGCATCCCTGAGCCTCAGAGCTCCCCCCGAGAGCAGCACCAGAGGGAGGCGTCCCCGCAGGCACTCCTGGGCCGGGCAGTGTGTTTACGGGCTGCACTGAGCAAGTGCAGTGTAAAGACATCTGCCTCCTGATCCCCGTGGGAGGGGGTTGAGGGTCCCCCACTGAAGCTGGAAAGGCTAACGTGCCCCCCCCCCATGGCTCCCCACTGCACAGGGAGCAGGAAGAGCCGCTCAGAAGAATGTGGCCACAACAAACCCAAACCAGACTCCGCACTCTCCACACAGAGCTCAGAGAGGTTGTCAGCCTTCCCAAAGTCACACAGCTCCTCCAGACAGCACCAGACCACACAAGCAACTCGGGGGGCATGGAGGGAAGTTGGACACCAGGCAAGGTGGGGCCCGTCCTGGGGGTCCCCAGGGAGCCATGTGTGTTTCCTCGTCTATGAGAGACCTGGGGTGAACCCCATAAACATCCTTCTAACTCTGAGTTTCTGTTGCCCTTGGGATGGAAGCATTCCAGAGAAGAAGGTCTGTGAGGCCTTAACCCGTGACGTCATCAGGGCCACTGGTGGTAAGAGGAGTGCGACCAGGTTCACCCCGACTCCTAAACAACTGGGCTCGGACACATCCCCAAGGAAAGCACCTGCAACATTGCAAGGCAGAGTCCTCTGCCTGCAGCCGAATATTCAGCATCTCTATAGCGAACTGGGGTTGGGATGGGGGCTACCCCGAGAAAAGCAGACCCAGTGCTGAGGAAGAAGGTAAAGAGCTGGAGTCAGAGCTGCCGTGCTCTGCACGTGATTCTCTGAACATCCTGGCTGATTTTATGTCCCAGAATTGCAGATTTAGGGCTGCAGCCCTGTCTGGTAAGAGGTTGTCCTCACCCTGGAGAGCAGGGGCAATATTCGTCTGCCCCTGCAGAGTCGGACACAACTAAAGCAACTTAGCACAGACATGCTCTCACCACCTGAAATTGCCTTTGGAGTCTTTCTTCTGAAGGAGATGTTTCCAATGGTCTTTTATCAAAATGTGAACACCTGTAAGAGGGGATGTGCATTCATGATTTTATTGAGTTATGACACAAATACAATAAAGGCACTTTGCTCACCATCCAGGATATGAAGGGGAGGTGTTGGCAGCACTTTAGAAGCCCATTTGCAGAGATGTCCAGTCAACAGATGAATGGATAAAAGATATGGCACATATATACAATGAAATGTTGCTGTTCAGTCACTAAATCGTGTCTGACTCTTTGCGACCCCATGGATTGCAGCACGCCAGGCTCCTCTGTCCTTCACCATCTTCTGGAGTTTGTTCACGCTCATGTCTGTGAGCCACCAGCTCATCACCGACTCAGTGGAATATTACTCGGTTATAAAAAAGAAGGAAATATTATTTTCTCCCAATCTGAGGGCTGTCTTTTCACCTTGCTTATAGTTTCTTTTGTTGTGCAAAAGCTTTTAAGTTTAATTAGGTCCCATTTGTTTATTTTTGCTTTTATTTCCAATATTCTGGGAGGTGGGTCATAGAGGATCCTGCTGTGATTTATGTCGGAGAGTGTTTTGCCTATGTTCTCCTCTAGGAGTTTGATAGTTTCTGGTCTTACATTTAGATCTTTAATCCATTTTGAGTTTATTTTTGTGTATGGTGTTAGAAAGTGTTCTAGTTTCATTCTTTTACAGGTGGTTGACCAGTTTTCCCAGCACCACTTGTTAAAGAGGTTGTCTTTTTTCC